ATTCTGGTGATATACTACTAAATTCTGGTGATATATCACTAGATTCTGGTGAGATATCACTAGATTCTGGTGAGATATCACTAGTTCCTGGTGATCACTAGATTCTGGTGATATATCACTAGATTCTGGTGATATATCACTAGATTCTGGTGATATATCACTAAATTCTGGTGATATATCACTAGATTCTGGTGATCACTAGATTCTGGTGATATATCACTAAATTCTGGTGATATATCACTAGATTCTGGTGATATATCACTAAATTCTGGTAATATATCACTAGATTCTGGTGATATACTACTAAATTCTGGTGATATATCACTAGATTCTGGTGATATATCACTAAATTCTGGTGATATATCACTAGATTCTGGTGATCACTAGATTCTGGTGATATATCACTAAATTCTGGTGATTTATTACTAGATTCTGGTGATATATCACTAGATTCTGGTGATTTATTACTAGATTCTGGTGATTTATTACTAGATTCTGGTGATATATCACTAGATTCTGGTGATTTATTACTAGATTCTGGTGATATATCACTAGATTCTGGTGATTTATTACTAGATTCTGGTGATATATCACTAGATTCTGGAGATATATCACTAGATTCTGGTGATTTATTACTAGATTCTGGTGATATATCACTAAATTCTGGTGATATGTCACTAGATTCTGGTGATTTATTACTAGATTCTGGTGATATATCACTAGATTCTGGTGATATATCACTAGATTCTGGTGATATATCACTAGATTCTGGTGATTTATCACTAGATTCTGGTGATTTATTACTAGATTCTGGTGATTTATTACTAGATTCTGGTGATATATCACTAAATTCTGGTGATTTATTACTAGATTCTGGTGATATATCACTAGATTCTGGTGATTTATTACTAGATTCTGGTGATTTATTACTAGATTCTGGTGATCACTAGATTCTGGTGATATATCACTAGATTCTGGTGATTTATTACTAGATTCTGGTGATATATCACTAGATTCTGGTGATATATCACTAGATTCTGGTGATTTATCACTAGATTCTGGTGATTTATCACTAGATTCTGGTGATTTATTACTAGATTCTGGTGATTTATTACTAGATTCTGGTGATATATCACTAAATTCTGGTGATTTATTACTAGATTCTGGTGATTTATCACTAGATTCTGGTGATTTATTACTAGATTCTGGTGATTTATCACTAGATTCTGGTGATTTATCACTAGATTCTGGTGATTTATTACTAGATTCTGGTGATTTATCACTAGATTCTGGTGATTTATTACTAGATTCTGGTGATATATCACTAAATTCTGGTGATATGTCACTAGATTCTGGTGATTTATTACTAGATTCTGGTGATTTATTACTAGATTCTGGTGATATATCACTAGATTCTGGTGATATATCACTAGATTCTGGTGATTTATCACTAGATTCTGGTGATTTATTACTAGATTCTGGTGATTTATTACTAGATTCTGGTGATATATCACTAAATTCTGGTGATTTATTACTAGATTCTGGTGATATATCACTAGATTCTGGTGATTTATTACTAGATTCTGGTGATTTATTACTAGATTCTGGTGATCACTAGATTCTGGTGATATATCACTAAATTCTGGTGATTTATTACTAGATTCTGGTGATATATCACTAGATTCTGGTGATTTATTACTAGATTCTGGTGATTTATTACTAGATTCTGGTGATATATCACTAGATTCTGGTGATTTATTACTAGATTCTGGTGATTTATTACTAGATTCTGGTGATATATCACTAGATTCTGGTGATTTATTACTAGATTCTGGTGATATATCACTAGATTCTGGAGATATATCACTAGATTCTGGTGATTTATTACTAGATTCTGGTGATATATCACTAAATTCTGGTGATATGTCACTAGATTCTGGTGATTTATTACTAGATTCTGGTGATTTATTACTAGATTCTGGTGATTTATTACTAGATTCTGGTGATATATCACTAGATTCTGGAGATATATCACTAGATTCTGGTGATTTATTACTAGATTCTGGTGATATATCACTAAATTCTGGTGATATGTCACTAGATTCTGGTGATTTATTACTAGATTCTGGTGATTTATTACTAGATTCTGGTGATATATCACTAGATTCTGGTGATATATCACTAGATTCTGGTGATTTATCACTAGATTCTGGCGATTTATCACTAGATTCTGGTGATTTATTACTAGATTCTGGTGATTTATTACTAGATTCTGGTGATATATCACTAAATTCTGGTGATTTATTACTAGATTCTGGTGATTTATCACTAGATTCTGGTGATTTATTACTAGATTCTGGTGATTTATCACTAGATTCTGGTGATTTATTACTAGATTCTGGTGATTTATCACTAGATTCTGGTGATTTATCACTAGATTCTGGTGATTTATTACTAGATTCTGGTGATTTATCACTAGATTCTGGTGATTTATTACTAGATTCTGGTGATTTATCACTAGATTCTGGTGATTTATCACTAGATTCTGGTGATTTATTACTAGATTCTGGTGATTTATTACCAGATTCTGGTGATTTATCACTAGATTCTGGTGATTTATCACTAGATTCTGGTGATTTATCACTAGATTCTGGTGATTTATTACTAGATTCTGGTGATTTATCACTAGATTCTGGTGATTTATCACTAGATTCTGGTGATTTATCACTAGATTCTGGTGATTTATTACTAGATTCTGGTGATATATAACTAGATTCTGGTTATATATAACTAGATTCTGGTTATATATAACTAGATTCGGGTTTTCTGACAGGGTCAAAATCTGTACATTGTTGCCAATGAGCACTTAATTTCATCGAATAGAGCGAAATAGAGTTAGCGGAGCGGAGCTTAGGGTAGCGTAAGGTAGCATTGCGTAGGGTAGCGGGGAATCGGTAGAGGGTATCGGAGGGTAGAAAGGGCTATTCTGGAGCGTTGTATATGATTCTAGATACTTCTAAATTGATATAAATAAATGAAAACGACATTTCTGAGTTTTTAAAATAATTTATTTCGTACAACCGTCCCAAAACATTTTTTTTCTTTGTTGGTAATAATTCAATCTTTCAACTTACTTTTTTTTCATAACAAAATCGTTCTCTATTCGGGATAAATATAATTATTTTTTTTTATAAATAGAGGTAGCTTAAAAGAAATCTATTTATATTATTGTCAGGGCACCTGACCAACTAATTCTCGAAATTTGCTGATTTTTTAGCTATAATATTTAACGGAATATTTACAAAAAAAGGAAGAAAAAGAGTAAGATCTTTATAGATAACATAACAAACATTAAAAAACCAGATCACACTCTTTTTTCACACTATTAAATTTATTTTAAACATTTTTTTTCTTTTATACGAGGAAAATATTATTTTTTTACAATTTCCGAAGAATGTTATCGATACTTTCTCGTATATGTAACGAAACAAATTACATATTAAAAAAACGCGATATTTATATATTGTATAAATAATAAATAAAAGGCAGTTTTCCATTTCAATGAAATACATTGCGGTATCACATTTTACTACCCTACAGTTCAATTTCAAATCGTTATAGATTGATTCATCATAAATATTAATAATACAACTAATAGTTAATAATTAATTCACATATATTAAATACTCATATCGCCCCGCTGATATTTGACATAACTCCTGCTCCATTTTTTATAACATTGGAATTGACGAATGAGTCATTTTATAATGATCTGAAACTGGACTGTATACGAATAAATTCCATTTCATGACAAATAATTTCTTAATTATTTTATTGTAAGCACAACATTTATAACAGAAAGTTGTCGTTTTTATTTTTTAATAGATAAATTAAAGTGGGTTAACGCGAGATTTTATTATATATATATAAAAGAAAATTTTACTTAAATTTAAAAATTTACAATATCAATGGGCAGTGTTAATGTATTGCACGTAATTATTTACTTATATTGATATGCTGCAAAAAAAAATAACGAAAAATTACAATTATCTGGCAGAAAACTTGGTATAGAGATTTTTATTTTATAACCTAAGTTACTAGATTTTTTTGATTTCTAATAATTAAATGTATATATACAAAATAACAGTGTTTTTTCAGTCATTGTACATTGTACAGTGCCTATCCAGTTGAGAAAATTCCAATAAAACACAAACAATTTTGAATTTTTGAGAAAAATATCAACATAGGTATATCATAGTTTTTAAAATCTATTTCCTCTCGATAGTTCCAAATCAGACGTTTAGTTTAGGTAACAATTTTCTCAACTACTTATCAGCTTAATTTACAAAATTTATTTAATTATTTACAAGTCTATACTATCTTATTGTAAATCTAGATGGCACCCTGCAAATTTCATGCACTTAAACTTTTTTATTTTTTAATTCAAGCAATATCATTCTTATTTCTTCGTAGAGGGCGTTTACAAGATAATTTAGCAGGAATAAAAATATCAACCTATTTCTATATGTATGTATGTATAGATAATTAATTAACATTTTTCTTTTGTACATTTAATAAATCACTAAATCGATTCGATTGCATTTAGATACCTAATAATCGTCTTCCAAACGCCCGATACGTTAAATACGATTATTAAAAAGCTCTATTTGATAAATCTAACAAGTGACCCTATAGAAAATCACAACTCTAAGAGAGAGAAAGTCCTTTGAAAAATTCAGTTATTGGTCCAGGACTAAAAATTCACAAACTAGCATAAACGAATTTGAAACTTATCCAAACTTTTTAAATCGAAATTAAAGCTTACCTAATATACATTGTTAATTTCCAAACAATAATCTCTCGCTCTTGACTGATTGATTGGTGTGACTTATACCATACACAAAAGGAGAGTTCCTTTAACAACATTTTATTTTAATCAATTAATCAGCACGATTTTTTCGTCACGAAACAATCAATTCGCAATATAAAAAACGCATTTCCTAATCACAGTTCTGTAGGGTAGGTCGAAGTTCTGTAGGGTAGGTCAGACGGTCGTTACCCTGTCGATTTCGACGTACCTTACAGAATTGTCGCTGTGTCAGCAAATCACGTCTCGATCGTCGATAATGGCAGTGTCAGATGAGAGACTTTTAAGCCTCGTTTGTAATATTGATCTCGGTCTTCTCCTGCATGTTTTCCACATAATCACGCCGGCCAGGAAGCTGTAAATACATCATTCGTTTTTATTAGACAGTTCTAAATGATTCTGTATATAGTTCTGATTCATTCTGATTCATTCTGAAGTAATTAAAATGATTCTGATTAGACAATTAGTAGATATCGAATCGATCATTATTATTTTTTACCTTGATAGTATCATCCCCAAAGCTCCGAAGAACAAATAGACGGGCGGTAATTGTAGCAACAATGAACAATGGGTGATGGCTTCATCGATTCCCGATGGACAATCTTCAATACCATCACACCAAACGCTCGAATTAATGCAAGCGTCCAATTCCGGACATCGATATTGACAATCGTCTGGTTTCATCATGAATAAACCCAAACCGTTGGGCGGCAAGTCTCGTCTGTAATACCGGCCCGAATATATATATATATATTTTTTTTTTTCGTTTCGTTTTTACGTAAATTAATTTAATTAATTTAATTAGGTTTTTTAGAATTTACCGTCTCGTTAGCTCCAGCCATTGAACGCCGTATTCTCCCTCTTCTTTTCCATGAAATTCCACGGTGATTGTTTTGGATAGTTCCGTTCCCAAGCGATCGATTTCTATTTTATCTAATGTCAGTCCGTCTACGGTGAGATCTTTCTCTTTGTAAGCGTTCCATCCGTCGGAGAAGACTTCCACCAAGTTATCCCGATAACCGGAATCTTGCGGACAGATAACGGCCGAGTAGAGACTGGTGTGTACCTGGAAAGACTCTTTTTACTCGGTATTTTACCATATAAGGCGCATTTAGAAAGTAAGTTCCGTTTGGAACCTCTCTATCTATGTACATATAGATATAAAAGAAAAAGTTATGTATCTACAGGATTTTTTTTAATTACCAAACGGAACGTACTTTCTCGACGCCCCTGGTATTTTGGCTAGGGTAACTTAACTATATCGTTAATTGTGCTTGAAAGTTTACCGATCATTTCGTTTTGGCAAAGTCGTAGAAAATTGTTCGAAACTCTTCGAGTAATTTAATTACGTTTGAAAGCTTACATGACAATGGAAATAATCGTATTACGGTTAAAAAGTTCATTCGTAATTTCTCTGTATTAAAACTTTATTAAGATTAGACTTGTGGTTCGATTTCTACATGATATTTTCCCTATTTACCCTCGTAATTTCCAACCCTTCCAATTTCTTTACAAATCTTAATAAAATCCATCGCAGAAACTCTACGCCATTTCACAGGATAAGAAACGACACTTGTTCTTTCTCTTAAACATTTCTTTTTTTTTTCAATTAATTAATAATACTCACGCTAATTCTATTAGAAGTTTCGCAACTTTGGCCGGTGTAAATAGTTTTCACAGTGGCGTTCCTCTTTCTAGTCGAGTGCTTCAGCATGCTCCCTCGTATTTTCACGTACAGGAATTTGTTCAATCCTGGTATTATTACCCTCGGATCGGCCTCGCAATTCAACTGAAATACAACAATAACCCACTTATAAATTCGTTATACGACGGCGAAGTGAAAAGTTGTCGAAAAATTACAATATTAATCATTCTAAATGGTTCTAAATACTTCCAGAATCGAGCGTCCTCGGTGTATCAGGTCGAGAACTTTTCACCCTACCCTCGTTAGCGCCCTTTTTTTATGACAATTATGTTAATGCGAACCTTTTCTCGACACTTTTCTCGTTAAATTAACTCCACTAGCTAGTTAACTCGGTTACCCGCTCTTTCTCGCTCCTCCGAAGTTACACAGTTAATAATTGTCTCCTCGATATAACGGGAGGAAATGAGTTAAAACGAAGTCAAAACCTTTGGAAAATTAAACGGAAAGAAGAAGAAGAAAAAAAAAAACGTACAGTAGAAATTTCCTCGTTTTAAACGAATTATTGGATAGTTTGTGGTTTAATGGAGAAGATCAATTACTCCGGGACTTGGCCGTATTCGCTCTGGAAAATTTGTTGTCTTCATTTTATGTAGTTCTCTTTTGGGGCGTTATTAAATTATCAGTTTGCGCGCTTCAACACAAATATATAATGGCGGAAGGAATGTAGCAAAAGAGATGAAAACTGAAGATAGGCGCGCCTGGTGTGTATAAAATATCAGAAACTTTCTAGGCGATCGAGAAAATAGAATGGAACGGTTTTAATGCCTTTGAGAATCAGATTTCAGTAAATTGTATTAACTCTTCCAGTTTCGCCATTTTAATATGAATTTTGTAACGCCTGCATCTTGAGAAATATAAGAATTTATTGAATAATAAAGAGGGAATTGTCATAAAAATTCTCGACGTAATCAACAAATCAAAGGACTAAATTGAAGGAAACCTGTCCTACTTCTTGCGAGTTAAGGAACGCCTGATATTACTTTCAGATTAAATCTCTCTCGCATGTTTACTGATCGTTTCCGCCGGAATTCCTGAGCGCAATTCTTGAGGAACTTACATCAGAGACGTCGGTGGTAAACACAAAAGGGAATCGAACGAGCAATAAAGTGGATATTGGTAAAGTTCATGCTATTCGAATGGATACGTTTGGTTTGATTGTTTACGATATTAAATCCATCGGTCCCTTTTCATGTTCGCATTTAAAAAAAAAAGGTTTTATTAAAATGGGTATATTCGTTAAGGCATTTAAGGAATATTTCGGGTCATATTTCAATTGATTCATGATTATATTTACCTCATCATATGGCGTCGGATAGACGAAACTTATCTCCCCGTTGGCTCCTCTATACCTCAAATTCTTTTTACACCCGGGCGTCTTGATGTAGCGCCAGTTACCTTCGAAATAGAGGGTATCGTAATCGTCCGAAGCGTTCATCCCGAATACGTTGAATCTCAATTCGACTGCATTGGAAGTGGAAAAGTAGGTGAACGGTATGAGGCGGTTTTTGTCCACTGCACATAGACAATCTCTCGGTACTCCAGGTACGTCTGCCCATGGCATTTCGAAGAACCTGAGGGTGGCCGATGCGTTGCCGAAACACTCGAGTTGATTGGTATCTTTGCTGATCACCGTACTGCAATGTCGATTTTTCACTATCATGTCGGTAATGGTGATTTTAATCCGTTCTTCTTTGTCCACCTCGAAGCGGTACACGCAACTGGAATTATACAATTCACTGTTGCATTTTAAAAAAGGGGTGGTAATTTATCTAATATAAGGGAGTGCGGGTGCTTATCTAAGGGATTAATTTGTCTAATACATACCTGATGTTTTTGGCTCCCCCTCGACCGTAGAGGAAAATGTCCCTGGGCGATTTGAATTTCTGTTGGGCGTCGCCGCTGCCGAAACGTCTCGAGCACGGCCCTTCTCCGAAGGGCTCACCGTCCAGATGAAGATCGACGAACTCGTAAAGCGCCTTGAAATTGACGGGCCTAGAATTCGATCGATTTGAGTTAGACCTCGCGAATTTTCGGGCTCTCTTTAATGACGGGGGGGATTAAACGCGAAAAGTGGGCAAAGTTAATGAATCGCGCGATTTCGAAGGGTTTTAATAATTCAAAACCGGTCGAGGGTTCTTGGGAAATTTTAATCTTGATAAATATTTCAATTTTGGAAGTGTGTCATAAAAGTAAGAATTTTATTGTAGTAGGTACGCTACGTGAATCTTTTCTCGGTCTAGACAGAAACCATTCCGAAGGAAATAGTGGAAATACTAAAACGCGAGACTAGCACCCGTAAATATTAGTCCACATCCCTTCGGTGTAATATAATTTCCTCAACCCTTGTTTCTGGAATGGTCAGTATTCCTGTTATTTTCATCCAGAGACTCGTACCCTCGAGATTTCGACTGCAACGGATATGACTAACGAATAACAACAATTTATATAAGGTGTTTCTTGGAAAAACATAAAATTAAGTCGATAAAATATTGATGAAAAAAAAAAATAAGGAAATACTGACTTCAAAGCGGTGGAATCGGCCACTCGCATCTCCAACGTGAGACTGTCTCCGGTGGTGAGAAAACTCTCTGCCAGAGTGCAAGGTCTTGGATATCGGGTGGCGTTTCCCAGCAGGGAATGATCACAACTCCTGGGCATGTGCTCTTTGCAGTAACGGGCCAACAACGTGACGTTCTTCTTTCCGGGCGCTTGCACCTCCGGAGGTCGCGATTTCGATTTGTCCTTTGAGCTGGAACAAGTAAATAAAAAAATGACGAATTTATCTAAAACGATTTTTACGTTAACGGGGAGAAATGCATTTATTCGAAGGTAAAAAAAAGTGTTGGGCATCCTGCGGGCGATAAAATGTGAACTAATTTATAAAGCAAGACGACAAAAGGAAATATATTGCGCAGGAAATGACGGAACGAGACAATAAAATCGTGCCATTTTTGAAACTTGATTTTAAATTACGAGTATTTGCTCTTACTGTACAATCATGTTTGTTTGCGAAGAGCGCCTTTATTGTTCCTGAAGTTGTCCAATAATTCAACGGCGACGATCGTTCCGCGAAATTGATTTTTATTACAGAATATCTTGTCGAAATTTTTAATATACCTACTTTAATGTACCTACAGGTATTTCAAAAGCGGAAAAAAATATAACGCCATCATCAACCCTATTAAAAGTAGCAATAAATTTCAAATTTTAATGGTAAGAGAGATTCATAAAACTTACCAATACAAACCATCGCAGTTAGAAGGTTGCCACAACGGTCCGTCCCAAACGTTCAGATAACTCCTGCAGACCTGATCGGGTTTTTCGGGATCCCAAGGACTGACCACGTGGAATTTGAGCACGCTCAACCAGACCCTGTAGCGGGGCGGCGGTAAAATCATTCCCACGTGTCTCCAATCCGGGTATCTGGAGCGATGCGAAGGCGGCGGTGACGGAGACAAAGAGGCGTCGAGACCTTGAAGGTGATAGAGACAGGTAGTGTTTGCCGGTACGGAATGCATAGGACTCTCCAGGACTCCTCTGTTGGTTCCGCGTATCCAGAATTCGCAGGCGCGTTTTTGTTTGGCATAAGCTGGAAGCTGCTGGTCGATGAACGTTACCTGTGGAAATTGGTTTGGTGAATTTTCTATTTTTAGGGGATTTTCCAAAATTCTATTTCACCATATATAGGTATTTGGTAGCAAAGGTACCTAATGTAAAGGTGATGCTGATTGATTAATATTCCCCAGTTGGTTTGCAGTATAAACTTTGCGTTATTGCGGAGCGCTTTGGAAATAACCGGAAGCAATTTTCTTGGACGGTTTTCTATGTAACTTCAACCGATACAGTCGATTCGTAATAGGATATAGTTTAATATGGATTGCAGGAATTGCAGGAGGTGCGGGAATGGAGAAAAACGAGGTCGCCGGGAAACTGTAATATCGAAACGTAAACGTCAATTGAAAAATATTCCGGATTTTATAAAAATCGCTCGAGTATGTCGAATAAGGAAATCGCTTGAATTAAATTCGAAAATTGTACTTTGATAAACATAGTAAGAAAGTTTATGGAAAGAGAAAATATAATTAACAGAGGCGTAAAATCCACCTCTGTTTGAGTAAATTTTCCGGGGGTTAAACTGGATGCTACGCGAGAATTTATATCGCAAGTTTAATCAGGTTCTCTGCTTGCTCTCGTTGCCTTTTATTTGAGCAATTAATTAATTTAACGAGTGTTGATATCATTCGAGGCGAGTTTGAGTGCAAATTCCAATTTGCTTATGTCGAATAAATGTTAATTAATTCGCACAATTTTTCTACCAGTATTTATCCATATTTTTAAACATCATGCAATTTATTTATCGGCACAATTTTCGCGACGATTCCGCTCGATCGGTCTGCAAAAAATTTCGTCGGAAATTAAATTCGGGGGGATTTTTCAAAGGATGCGCCGTCGAATTCGGAAACTTGAACCCGTCACAAAAACGAAGGGAAGACGATTAGAGAAAACGGGCCGATATAAATCTCGCGAAATTCGCACGATCTTTTCGAGCGACTACAACGAGAAACGGATGTTTCGAAAAATTCGCGAATAAATGGCATTTTACATAACGTATTTTTATATGTTAAAACGGAATTATAAATTGTAATTCGAATTGCCGAGGAAAGTCAACCGGAAAAGTACACCTGCAAACTTCTGTAATAAGAAGTTTACTTACGAATTAAAAGTTTCCCAACAGCATACAAAATAATTCATCAATTACTAATCTTTTAATAATAGTAAAATATGATTCTAAAGTCATACAGAGTAGAATACATTTTACATCTTTATTGTCCAACAGTTTCCCATTTACAGGACAATGATTACATTAAATATAATATCAAATTAAATAAAATTGAGTCGTATATCAAAAAACAAAAATAAATAATTCTAAATATGTAGGACCGTAACAGACAACTATATGTATAAATTTTAATCGTAGTAAGTAATCAAATAGTATTTAATAAAAGAATAAAAAATTTAAAAAGTGCAAAAAGGTTCACCTCGACTTCCAATTGAAAGCCGTGCAACGCCTGCACCGGCGTCGGATGTAAAAATGTGCCATATGGTGAAGTGGAAAACTCCACCAACAATTCGTGACCGCTGGAAACCGCCGACGGGACTTCTTCACCTCCACCGCAAAATTTCAATATCACCGGATCCCTGCGATACATATAAAAGGGGAACGTTGTAAGATATATAGTTCGTGGAAAAATTCCACCAACAGCCTATTTTTATTCTACCACCTACCTGGTGGTGTAACCGTCGTAGACGGTTACGTAATCCTGCACGTCGTCGCAGGCGTCCCATACTTTGATTTCGTTGGGCGTCGCGGTGCCATATAATGCAGATTGACTTCGAATCGAAATCAATTGACCTTTCGGCTGACGCACCGTTATCAAAGCGTGTTTACCTGACAAAAATAAATTTAACAAATTAATTAACTCTATAACAATCTACTAGATATAATGGAATAATTATTTGAGCTACTAATCTATCTGTAGCTTGTTGTATACATCAGAAATTTAAACGATCTGAATACTAAAGTAAACCCGAATCCTTATATTAATTAGGGAAAATTCTTTTTACTTATAAAACGGTTAATAAAAGGCGTATAGAGTGAGAGAAATGTAGGGAGGGTTTGCAGGAGATGCGCTTTTCTCCTGCCGTAGCGGGTCGAGCGTCGAGGACGTCGTCGTCGGCGTCGTTTTCCCTTCCCCACCGTTCGGTGAATTGGGTCTCTGGAAATGGGTCACGCAACCCGAAAATCCTGCCGGTCGAAAACTCCTGAATCGGCGTCCGATTGTTCCTGCTCGAAGTGGCTCCTCGATTGGGGAATGCGCCGTTTATTTCGATGCCGTTATATCGAGTTTGGTTCGTAATAAATCAGTAATAAATCTACACCTAAACGTATTATTCCTGCTACATTACATAAATATTATTAGAAAAAAAAAATCTAAAATTATTTACCTACACGTTTATATAAAGGGACTAACCTGGCGGTATTTCGTGCTGCCTGACGGCGTAATAACAGGTCAAATTTCGGGGATAGATCCCCGGAAAATTGGGGGACTGGAGACGGCAGTGTTTCCTATCACAGTCGCTGAATATTCGAGAACAATAAGTTCCAGTTATTAAATCGCCTAAATAGTAATCGGGTTCCGGGCCGTATCCGACGGTGGGTTCGGTGGTGTTGTAAGACGACGGTGGAGGTCCTGTATAAATTAAATCAAAGTCTTTTTTTTTTTTTCAAGTTTCCATACGTACAAATTTAATTAATCTGCGAAATTATCTCTAATATAGTCTGTTTATACGCAAAAAGTAATCCCTGTTTTTCGATTAGGTTTTCCATCTCCATTCGAATTTTATTTGCTTTTTAAAGACGAGGCCCGTCCGGAATTTATATGAAGAGCTTAAAGAGCGTCCGAAGGGAAATTGAAGAGTGAGAGAGAGAGAGAGAGAGGGGATAGAAGCTCGCCGATATCTGCTTGAATATTAGAAGAGAAATATTCGCTTGTAGATGAAAGGCCAAAATTGACTCATCATTTATATATACATTCTGATAAACGTTATTGGATGGACGATCGGCTTAAAAGATTTTTGATGCATTCGCAATTAAACTAAACCAATTAACTCCGGCACAATGAGGATCGTTCGACAATTTTATATTTTTTTGAATAAAATAAAATAAATCGAGCTCTCGTAGGTAAAGCAAATATTTTAGGAGTTCGCAAATGCGATACTTTACTCCTTAATCTCTCGAAACTATAACGAAACGGAACTCGAGCATTAAGCCCTACAAAGGTTATGGCTTTGCGGCGAAACCGTTAATATTTAACGGTAAACGTGGAGACCTTTTGAACTAGAAACACAGTGCAATGCTAAATTTATAGAAATGGGGCTTGAACTGTTTATTATATTTGGTAGTGGTCTGGTATAAACGTGCAAAATGTTCATAAATGAGATCTTTGAAGATGACTTCCATGATGAACTCGATGAATTCGATATTTTTCATACATGTACGCGTAGATAGACTACATTTCTCTATACATAATAATCCATCTACTCTATTCCTATCTATGTATCTAGACTCAACATAAAAATACTCACGTCCTCCGTATCGAACGATGGCGTTTTTCTTTTTCAGAAACTTGTACTCCATCCTATAGTCGAAATTGTAGCCGTTCTCGACTTTGGAGAGGCGATAGAGATTGACGGAGACTGTAACGCTACCGGTTTCGCTGTAATAAATGGCAGGACCCCAGGAGGTGCCACACCAGGAACCTCCGACCTGCGGTCGATTTGATTCGGCTATTTGTAAGGCACCATCCGGACATCCGTCCGTTGTAAAAGACACGAATCGGCCCAATGTGAAGCTGTCGAACGTAAGCTGTAACAGGAATGGAACGATTATGGCATATTTTACATGAATTAGACAACAGGAATCGAATAAGAGAGAGGATGATTTTTTTTTTTTCGTTTGCACGAGTTCGACGAGTCATGGCAATTATGTTAAAGTCGTAAGTGTTCCGGGGGTGGGTAAAAAAAATCGGTTACGATGGAGTTTCGGGAGGGCGTGCTTTTATTAAAATTCCACGGAGGAGCTCAGTCGATAGGCAATTTTACAAGATTATTAAAATTTAGTCGATGCGACTACATTGATTTCTTTTCTCTGGAAATTTATTTGCTAGTCTCGGAGAAACTGATTCGCTCGCTTCGAAATTTTATTTTAATTTGTATTCACTATAATACCTATAGGTATATAGTTTTTTAAGGCTCCTCCGGAGACACTTGTATATTTATTATTGCTGTCGAGAGCGCAATATGTTTGAAGATATTTTCTTAGCATTCAATATTTTTTGTTCAGATTTTTTCATATCGAATATTCAAGCGTGGAATTTTTTTTCTGCGAGTAAGTATCTACCAATTATCTGTCTGCGAAATATTTTCTCCGTTCCGCTAAACCTGTCGGTTTAAACATGTCCGAAAAGTTAAATCCGGAGTTGCGTTTGGATTAAATATAAAACTCCGGTTATGAAGTTTCGGAGACCGGTGAATGGAACTACCTGCCCGAAAATCCATTAAAGCTCTAATTAATTTATAAACTTCCATCAAGTGGGAATGTTTATTGGGGAAATAGAAATTTAGTAAAATCCAACTAATTGTAAATGTAAAATTGTGATTTTTATTTTTTAATAAACTCGACTTTTCTTGGTGTGTGTGTGTGTAAAAGGATAACAAACAACATAAAGAAAGAAATATTTATTACCTGAATAAGATCACCGAAATCTCCTCCATTTGCAGTAAAAGTTAGGAAACAAATAAACGGGATTTTATCCTCTTTCGGTCGATGAAGTTCCAGATTATACGTTTTTCCAATTACCCCGTAATATGTTCTGTTACATTCTGTAATAAAAATATTTATATAAGAAACATTGTCCGAATATGAGAATCGTATTTTTTTTTTCACGAATCCAAGTACAATTCACCCCATTAAAATTGCATAGGTTTTATCCAACCATAGGTACACAAAAGTATCAATCACAAAATAAAATTCCATCGGCGATTCATCATCGATAATTTATTATGCGCCTTTTTTTGCTTCCATTTTTGATTCAATAACACTAAAACTCAGACTCACTCGTAAATCATCTTCGCGTTCGCGAATGTTTATCATTTTTCTCGACTTTGACCCGGAAAAGCCATCCACATTTTAAAGGGAAATCCTTCCTCCCCTCTTTCGAATCGCTCGTACACCGCAGGGCTCTATTAGGGTTTACGTTCCCAGCTTTCCGCGTAATTTACTCGAAATTTTATTTTATTTTTATAGGATTATTCTATTTATTTTCTGAATGTATTAATAAGCGCCTTACATAAAATGCGCGACGTGCATTGGTAATTGATTATATTTAATTAAATTTTATTAATTAGGCAAAAAGTATAAAGGATATTATCCTGCGAAAATTCCAACGTCACAGCCGCGATATTTTCCGACGAACAATGTCCTTTTTGGCGGCGAGCTCGCATTATCATATCGTGATTTGTTGGCTACCTTAAAATATAATGGTTTTTGTTGAATTTACCGGCGAAAAGGGACCGATTCCGCTTGTTTTTGCATTTGGTATGAATATCACGCGCTTGCCGCAAACCCCCCGAATTTCCACGATAGAAATCCGAATTGTACATCCAAGATTTATTCGTATGGAATTAATTTTATTTTCTCGTCAGCGAATTCATCTAGAGTCTAATATGTAAGGATTCTTTCAAATACAACCGCCTCCAATAAATATATACTTACTAGTGCAATACCTGGGCTCGTCCGAACCGTCGCCGCATTCGTTCTTGTTATTGCAATATCTATTCAAAGGGATGCAACGGCCGTTGTTGCACGCGAATTCCGAAACCTTACACCTGCCTCCGATGCGCGGTGGTTTCGTTGAAGGTCCTCTCGGACCGCCTTCGGCCGTCGCCGTCGCCGCCGCCGTCGCGTTCATCAACATCAAACAGACGGCGCTCGACACCGACGCTTTGATCCACACCGACGTCGGCATTCTCTCGACTTTTACCTGCGGTAAAACATATGTAAGTAAGTAACCCTTGGAATGAAAATATTGCATTATGTAGGTAGGTATACAGTTTGTTTTTTTTTTCGCTATCAAATCGATCGATGTGGAAGAAAATGTTCTGTTTGTATAAACGCACTGTAAAATATAAAATCGATAGTTTCTGAATCCTCTCGAACCGTATACGATTAAAGTAAATACCTAACAATATGGCGAGTAATTATTATCAACACGAATAATCCCCGATTCATTATCGTAAATTACCGGATCAACAGTCAATACAGAATTATTTAATAAATCCGTACTGTATAGTAAGTCCACGTCGGTTATGGATGGTTGGCGGGTTATTATAACCGACCACACGTCGATTATTATACCTTACTGATCAAACAGGTAATAGGTACTATAAAGTAGAAAATAATGCAGGCGTATAAAGTTTCCCAATTTCGATATTCAATGCCTAATAATCTATCGAATGATGGGAGGAGGAACGATGTTAACCCCCATTCCACAATAGGGCGCTTGCAACGTACAAAGCCTTTTCAACGCCCTCGCTGCATCGCCACACATTCGGGTTAATTGATTAATCAAAGTAATTTTTTTCTAATTGATGGTCTCGCTCCGACGATCAAAAATCCAATAAAGGCCTGTTTGGGGTTGAACAAGGGGTGGTCACTGTTGCGGTGTTGTAAACATAAAACGATACAACAGAGTGGTTATTGTACTTGAATATGATATAAGCAAGAATTCGGGAAGGATTGAAATACAGGAGGAAATATTCGTATCGAAGAATTATTAAATATAGAGTGTTGTGAGAATGTCGTTAAACGATTTTTGCAATACCTAGATACCTAAAAAGGCGCATCTGTGCGCAAAATAAAAAAAAATGAGAATGTTCAAAGGAACAATCCTCATTTGGAGGACTTTAAAAGCCCGAAAGCGACCAAACAAACTTCGCAAATGCATTTACAAAAGACACATACACACACAAAAGTCGATTTTCTGGTGTATTTTTTCCTCCTTTCGTCCGGAATTCCATTTGCCTTCTCGAAAAGGTCAAAGAAACTCATTTTACGTCGGTTACTTTGTCATTGAAGAAACTCTTTTTTCCGAAACGGAATCGATTCTGTCGGGATAAGCTTTATTAAAGTTCGACGAAAATCGTTAGATATCTGTACGAGGTTTGAATGCGGATTTCAATTATAACTTTTATGGAAGTCAAAGTTATTTCCATTCGGGATAAATCCAATTTCGAGGCGTCACTGAAAATTGTTATTTTTTACTTTATATATTGGCCTCAAGTGAATTGTGAATTATTTAATCGAAGCTCACCGAACCGCAAAACCCCTTGTAGTAAAACATAAACATAAATTTAGCAAATTATGTTGTTCAATACCTACCCGATCTATTAATCGCAGGATATACAATCACATCTACAAATAATATCGCATTACGCCATTTACAGCTAGCGCTTAATTAACAGAGGTATTCCGATATATTCGAATATTCAGTTTGTAATTTTGCTAATTACTAACCAGGCATAATTGCGATCCGACTCGATAATTTTAATGCTCGACGAAATAAAAACGAGAAAGTTCTCTTGTGATTTGTTAGTGGACTGTAAATTTCGCTGAATGTTTCTTGAATTGAAAATTTTATAACGTTTGACGATGCTTTTTATTCGATTTGTTTTTAAAAAACGTTCTTGCCAGATTCTTCTTTTTCATCTTCGGTTTGGGCCTCAGCTACTGTGGCTATTCATGACATTTTCAATTTGGCCGAATAGCCCTGGCAGCTGAGGCCAAGAACTTAAGAAAAAGAAGAAGAAGAGGAGGAAGACATTTTGAATTCAAACACTAGTTGCCCGACCTATTTTTGTTGTACGACCGTGATAATTGTGAATTGTGATAAATACAAACAAGTTCTAGTCTAGTCGAAGCTAGACCGGATTAAAATGTCGTTCGTTGAAAGACCATTCGGTAATTATTAGTGCCATTTGCGGAACTGTCGAATGCAACGCGGAGAATCAACTAATTAAAGGTATGTTTGTTTGATGGGGGCGCCCGAAAACTCACGACTGTTATTAGTTTTCAAATGATCGAAGCTCGAGAGCTTTTGTGGATGAAATTCGCTTGGATTTTTTTATCTAATTCGCAAGTTCATTTCTTGCTCTATTATGTTTGTTATTACAGTACAAGACTGTAAATACTTTATTGAACAATCTTGATTCGTGTCAATAATGCTTGTCTAAAAGAGAAGGTAAAGAAATCGAGTTGATTGAAACTTTTCTATTATGCTTTAGAATTCTATGAACAGAAAACGTACTTTCGACTTTCGACTCGTTTAAAAAATCTTATAAATCGATAAATATAAGTTATTGTGTCGTTGGAAAATTGAGAAAATTGCCACACGTCAGGTATCTATCGAATATTGTGGAGCGACTTGACAATAGAATCATAAGCCTTCACGCGGAATGTCATAGTCGATGTAGCGGAAAACGCTCCATAAAGTGAAAAATCATCTACCTCTCTCGTTTATATTTTTCCTCTTCCTATATCTATGTAAAATTGTACCTGCTGTAGCGCGATTTTATTATTTTTTATTCGATGAAAAGTTTATTTCTCATTAAAGCAAATGAAAAAAACCATTCGGATTCGACTTCTTCCATCCGAATCCCGCGGGGACACCTTCTTATACATTTTAAACTTCCTCCAAAAGAAATGTTTGCGAAAGTTTCGAATCGATTTCGCACTGAACAAAAAACCAGATAGAACAAACTGTAAAAGCAACGTAAAATAACGATTAAAAAACTTCTAATGAGCAATTCCAGCCACTCGTCCGTTTCCGAACGCTCTTCTTCGTCCGGGCGATTTGTAAAAATTAAAACTCGAACTGGAACTTTCGACGAATTTATATCTCCCTTTCGTAAATATTCCCGGCCGTTTTTAACCTCGTTAAAAGGCGACTTCATAACCCCACCGCTTTAAACCTTAACCGACCGCAGGATTCGCGCTATAACGAAATCGTTCGCCTCGAATTTCCATCGAAACTATTATTTACGAGGGTCCTCGTCCTTCGAAAAGCTTGCTTAGCGCTGGTGATATTTACCAGCTTTATTTTTCGTCGAGAGAAAGGTTTTACATTATGCTCTATCGATTGTTGTACGAATGTGAGATTCTAGTCGAAATTGCGGGTTATAATCTCGAGTTTGGGACGGTTTGAAAAAAGGGCGATTAAAAAAGTTGGAGCGACTCTAAAATGTTTCCTGATTGTAATCGAAGCGAATGAGAGAGCGGGTTTCGTTTGTGGAAAGTTCTGGAAGTATTTAAGAAATTGCGTATTGAATTGTGAATTTTTTTATTGCAATTGCGGAGATAGTTTGATTTATTCGGAGGTGGGATGAAGTTTTTATTTTTTTTTTGAGGGTAAACGCTCGAATTTCCTGACGTAATATATCTGAAGATAAATTTGATTTATGTTCCGGATGCCCAGGAAAATTCCTTTATTTCCTCTTTATAGCTCTCATATAGCGTGTTAGGCAATATTTGCCGATGTGTTCCGGGGATTCCATCTATTTCATTTATTTCCTATCAAATATATAGATAGCTGCATACTTACAACTCTTTTATCAAAAATTTGTAATACAAAAGAGAATGAACTAGTTCTATTTGCACACGTATTTCGCCTGTAACAGTTACATAAATTAATCTAAAATGCAATAGCGAAATCCCGAATATGTGCCTTATTAAGTCATGCGGTTTATTTGGATGTCATATAGAATTAGCGCATTTATCTAACTAAATGCGTCGGGAATGTTTAAAATGCCTCTTCAAACAGTTTCACGCGCCGATGTGTTAATTTTAATCGCTCTATATTACACGTTTTTTAACATACTGATTTTCTATAAACCATCAGAGAATTATATAGTTGATTCATAGAGTTACCTAGTTATTTATTTAAAATTTTCCGGATTATTTTTGAATTCCACCAGATTTTACCGCAGTAGGTATAGCGATTGTAGGGCCTTAAAATTCGGGCCGAAACGGGATTAAAAACGATCGAGGCGTTAAAACGCTTTCGAAGCGAACTCGGGACGATTTCCCTTTTTCGGGCGACATTAAAATAAAAACGCCGAAATGGATATTAAATTCAATTACTCCGAAATGGATACGAGTGGGATCGCCGGGAAATTTCCTTCGAAATAAGATTGGCACTTCCATTATCTAAAGGCCATATGGCATACGAGCGAATAAATTTAATAATATGGGAATATCAATCATTCGTTATTATAGGTAAATATCATTACGTTGTGAACGTGTCGAGTTTTTTATAATCAGTTTTATTGCCAGAAAATTCCATAAATTTTTTTCGATACTATACGAATCAGTTGAAACAGCATGTTTATCTTCTACGCCCCCCTCGTATCTATTCTAGCGGAATAAAAAAGGGAGACGTATAGAATCGCGAAAGAAACATAAAATACAAAATCTTCGATGTTTAGCTATGTTTAGAAGCGATTTAAAAGGGATGAGATGGATTTCGCTCAGGAAAACTTACTCACTCTCTCTATACATTACATAAAGTGACTCGAACTCGCCCTATATTTGCGATTTTTAATTCAATTTTCTTTATTTAGATATCTTTTTTTTGTCTTTTTTTTACGCCGTCTTTACGACATTCATCCCCGTACCGCCCCTGTTTTATTATTAAATTCCGCGAGAGAGGCGAAATTGTTGCGTTAATTACATCGATGAAAAATATACAGAGTGTCTTATCCGAATCTTCTGTTTTTTTTTTAGGTGTACGTTTTGCGGTGTTTTTGGAGCGATGAACGATAAAGTGGAAACTGGTATGTAGCGGAAATTAAAGTGCACTTTTGCTCCGGGAGAGACGGATAAAAGGTACGTGTTTAAACTTGCTCGTCCATTGCGACATATGCGTTATTATTTTCGACAAATTACGGCTAATTTATGCGACATGAAGCGCATGATTCGCCCGGACAC